TTATGTGCACTAGCTGGAGAGACAGAAAGAGATAGAGAGACAGGAAAGTGAGGAATCACCCCCAGGGGATGGCCATGACACAGTTCCTTCTCTTCCATTCTCTTGGGACTTGAGGTATGCCTGCACATGCACCTGGCATATTTTTCAAGCTGTTGGGTCTGGGACTTGAGCCACGCAGCTGGCCATGTGGGATCCAACCTCCTCAACCTCCACTCTACCTGCTGACCCTCTAAATCAGATTTATTTCATCGAGTTAATTTTTTTTTCTTTTTTTCTCCTCTATTTTTTCCCCCTAGAGAACATTGGAGCTTAATTTACAAAACATCTTTCCGATTTTTTTGCTTGAAAATCAAGAATGGGACCAGCAAATGGGTAATGGTTACGTCACTGGACTCCCAAGTAGCTGACCACAGTTTTAGTCCTGGACTCAGTGGCTTAAAACACATTCCGGGCATGTGTGCATGCGTGCCCAAGATCCTGAGAGGAGAATGGAGGAGAAGGTATTGCAGGGTGACCATCCCCCTTGGAGGATGATTCCTCAGTTTCTGTCTCTCTGATGAGCATACGCACCCCAGAGCAAAAATCTCTCTCTTTCATTAAAAAAAAAAAAAAGTCATTGAAATAAATGTCACTAGACTTAAACACAATTTAGATATAGACCCTACCAAGTGAGTGTGTGCCAGTAAATGTATGGACATAGAGATCTTGCTTGTGAGCCCATACCGTCTAGTAGTGCAGGACAAATAGGTGCTTTGGGGGCACTGCTCCTATTTTTCTCTGAAATGAGATAGCCACGTGCCAGCCACCCTATCAGATGTCCCTGATGCCATAATCTCTTGTATTGAAAGTCAACATTTACCTTTCAATATACTGACATTAGAGAGGGGAAAACATCCCAAAGTCCAATAGGGCAAATTAATATATTAAAAAATATTTTAATTAAGGGACTGAAGGGAAATATATATAAACAAAGGCTCAGAGTAAGTTCTAGCGGGTCAAATAATAAGAGAAGAAGTAGGGCCAACAGGTGGCATTGTGGTTAAGGCACTGAACTCCCACATGGCTCATGGTTGATATTGATTCAAGTCCTAGACCTGGCAGCTTGAAACTCACACCAGGAACTTCTGTGGGTGTGCCAGGAGGAAAATGGAGGAGAAGGGACTGTGGTGTGGTCATCACCTCCCCCCCAGGAGTGATTTCTCACTTTCCCTCTCACTATCTCTTTATCTGTCTCTCAGGCAAGCAAATATGCCCTATGGCAACAACAAAAATGAAAAAAGAGAAGAAGCTGTAGAATTAGACAAATGTGGTTTCCAGACCTTAGACAGTCCCTTTACGTCCCCTGTAAAATAGTGAAATAGTAGTCATCATGACGATCTTGTGAGCAAGTGCAAGGGTTGAAGAAACAGAGTACATACCAGGACAGAGCTCAGCTGGAGCCTGACTGCTGGGAGCTGTGCTTGAGGAAATGACCGTCCCTCATCCACTTTCACAGCCAATTACAGGAGTGGGTGGAGGCTGTTTGTCACCTTTTGCTTGCTTCTTGTGAGCAGGCGGTTCTCTTAACCAGACTCCTCAAAGGACAGAGGAGAAGGCAAGCAGGAGAGTATCAAACCCCTGTGAGGATGGCAAAGAGGGGCTCTCACCTGAAGAGACTTGGTCTAAGCAACTGGCAGTAGTTGTCGCCCCGTCTTCATGGAGGCAATATAGAGACCTGGAGTTTAACACCTGTCTGAAAGCTGTGGGTTCTCTATTATTTAACCGCTTCCCCACATTTCTGTGTCATTTGCCTTTAAAAAGACTTCATGTTTTGTGTGTCTGTGGGAACTATTCCTTCAGTCTCGTTATTACCCTGTAGACAGTCACTCAACACATACGTGCTTGATGCATCTGGAAGCAAAATGTAAGTTACTTCTCTTCTGTTCACCCTCCCCACCCCCAAACAGCTTCCATCCAATCCTATATAATATAGACTTCCTCTGCTTACAGAGCACCCTGGTTTCCCATAATTTCATTCATTCACCTCAACCTGGTCTTGAGAACACTCTCTAAAATTCTTCTGACTGAGTTTGTACACTCTTTTTTTAAAATTCCTGGGGCTGGCAGGTGGCAAGGTATGTAAGGGCACTGGACTCCCATATGGGCACCCAGACCTGGTGGCTTGCTTTCTCACTTTCTCTAGCTCTTGCTCTGTCCCTTTCTGGTCAAATTAAAATAAATAAATAAATAAAGCTAAATAAAATAATTCTTTTAAAAATTTCTTTTTATTTTGTTTACTTATTTCTTCCACAAGCTAGAGAAACAGAGAGCGAGAGAGAGAGAGAGAGAGAACACCCAGAACGAAGCGGGTTCTACAAAACAGCATGAAAAGACTCCCTTGTGTCCTCCTGACCCACCCTCCTAAGCTCTCAGTGGTTCCATTCTTGTTTCATTAATTTATCCAATTAATAGTCTGTTAGGTATCAGGTCCTATCATAGATAATGAAGATACAGAGTGTAAGAAACAAAAACAAAAACAACCATTCCCTAGTTGTATCCTAGTCAAGGAAGGAGAAGAGAAACAATAAACAAGATCAACAAGTAAAGTGTACAGCACGGCAGGTGGTGGAAGTGCTATAGAAGACAATGAGGCAACCTTCCAGCAAAGACCTGACACAGATGAGGGACTGAATCTGTGGAACTCTGGAGGAACAACTTCCAGGAAACAGCTGGTGCAAAGACCTAGAGGCCAGGGCATTTGCATCTGAAGGCAAGTAACAGGGTCCTGTGCTGGAATGGGTGAGCAAGGTGAGAATTAGGGAATGAGGTATGAAAGAGAATGAGAAAGTACATAGATTGGGCAGGGCCTAGGAGGCCATTATAAGAATTTTGTTTTTTATCCCATGAGATTAGGAACCATTGGCGGTCTTAGAGCAGAAGAGTGACATGATCTAATTTATATTCCAAGTTCCCCCTGGCCTTGCTGTTGAGACTAGGCTGGAAGGAGGCAGGCTTAGCAGGGCACCAGTGACTGTGGTAGTGGTCATCCAGATGAGCAATGACGGCGGCCTGGAATAAGGTAGGAGTGAGAAGAGTCGTATTTTGGAAGTAGACCCAATAGAATTTATTGATGGGTTGAACATAGAATGTGAGAGACTGGGAAGAAAGGAAGATGACCTCACAGCAACTGTAAGAATGTGATTGCCATTTGGCCACAAGGTAAGATCAGTGACTGTCTGTGACCCTGTTCAGCTGTTTCCTTTTTCTAGCTGGAATTTAGCTGGGCTCAACATGTCTAATTAAAATTTTATCTGACAGACTCACACATTGTATTCTCTCTGGAAAAAAACCTCAGTTTTAAAAAAAAAATCTCCAAATACAAAGCAAACAATGAAAACATTTATTGAAATAGTACGACAATATATTCCTAACACAATGAAGAATGTGACAATTACCATTTTCACTAAGTACTTTATCGTTGTCTAAGCATGCCAAGGTGATACCTAAGCGTGAAAGCAAAAGTAAAGCAAAGCAAACACAAGAGAAACAAAACCTGATATGACTTAATTTTCTTGAGGCAATCATAACTTTTTTTAAACTCGGGCTTCAGGACTACCGAATTTCATACGCTTAAATACTATTGACAACTCACAATTATTACTCCCTACCCAATCCATTACTCTTCACAACTCTCCCCCCAAAAGGACAAAAGGCAAGAAAAGAGCAACATTTAGAAAAATTAATTTAAAAATAGAGGAATAGTAATGTTTCTCAGTGTCAGGTCTAAGCTCAAATCAATATTTCTTGATCACATGGAAAAGCAATGAAAGCAATTCTCTAGCTCCTGTTTTGTCTCTTATTTTCTCCTTCTCTGCATTTTTTGAATAATGTTTAATCCATTTAGTATTGTGAGTAATTGTATATAACCATAAGATCAACTATATATTTATCACACTTTGGAGTAATTTTCAAATGTTCTTTGACATATATCTCCTCACAAGAAAGACAATCTTGAAAACATACTAAGATTAAAGCCTAAGCAAAGACCTATTGACCTTGGGTAGCTTTTATTGACCTTGGGTCACCAGAGTTGTACTCATAAGAGGCAAGCGAGATAGAGGTCTTTCAGAGGGCTCTGAACCCTATCATCTCTTTTAATTTTCAAGCACTGTTCTTCTTTTTTTTTCTTTTCTTTCTTTTTAGATTTTTGCCATAGGGCTTGTGTGCTCTCTGGAGAGAGATAGAGAAAAAGTGAGAAATCACCCCTCCCCCCCATGGAGGATGGTCATGCCATAATTCCTTCTCCTTCATTCTCCTGTCAGGATTTTGGGCATGCACACAGACACAAGCAGAGTGTTTCAAGTCACTGGGTCTGGGACTTGAACCATAGTCGACCATGAGGGAGTCCAGCACCTTAATCACTGTGCCATTTGCTGGCCTGAACATTGTTCTTATTTATATATGATAGAATTGAAAACAAAATTTTGGTTTATTTTTAAATACTTTATACTAGAAGATAAATATATTTTAAAAGTATAGAAAAATGAAATAAAAATCTTTTTAAAAATTGTTCATATAAAAATTTTAAATTGGCATATCTTTATCAATATAACTAGCTTGGTAGAGAGTGAAAAAGAATTGCTTCAGGACTGCCTTAGTTTGAAGTGCTATTTAAAAAAATATTTCATCATTTTATCAAATGTCTATTATTCCTTGGTTCTTAAATTTATATTTTGCTGTCTTAGGAAAATGAAGATTGGGATGTTACATTCAGAAGTAAATTTTCTATTTTACAGAGCCCTTCTGCCTCTTCTTTAAATTCTAATTTTTGGAGGTATTGTTCAAATAGAGTTTATAAATGAAATATAAAAGAAGACATACTGGATAAGCAAGGAAGTCCAAGAGTAATGAGAAACACTGGTTTAATAAAATACGAACAGCTTTGAATGAGATCCTTCAAATGAGCCATCCTATTCTCAGAGAGTTTTTGATTTCCATATTGCTGATGGCTGCAGACAAATTCATGGAATTTTCACACATCTCTCTCCACTTCTCTGACTTCTTTTGTCAAACATGGGTTGATATATTTCAGCCACTACGCAGTAACCAGAGGGTGTTGACAGAGCTTTGATTTCAGCCACTCTATGAGTCCCTTCATATACCTTCCATTCCTACACACAAGGAAAAATTAGATGTTAAATGATTTCCAGTAACATACTGCCCTAGTTTTGTTATAATTACTAAGTTTGGGCCAGCCTCATAGCCTAATAGTTGAGGAAGCCAAATCCCATATGGCTGACCACAGTTGGAATCACACCAGGAGCACGTGTATGCTCGAAATCCTGCCAGGATGGAGAAGTGGAGGAGAAGGGGATTGCTATGTGACCATGCCCCATTGGGAGATGCTCTCTCCTTCTTCCTCTGTTTCTCTCTAGCAAGCATACACACTCTCTGGCAAAAGGAAAAAAAAATAATTAGTAAGTTGTAGGCAGTCATGGTAGTACATGATCATGGTAGTACATGGGTATAGGTTCCCTCTGCCCCCAACCACATCCTCCTTTCCCAGAGTCCCAGGCCATAACCAGGACAGGTCAAGTGTACCAATCTTTATGTGTACAGGGAAGACCAAGTGGTGCCAAGTTGAGTAAATGAAAGAGCTCATGGACACACACACACACACACACACACACACACACACACACACAAGTTCTGGTGATTTAAGCATTAATGGTTTATCAGTGAGGGTGAAAGTGGGAAGGAATTTTTAAAAATATAAGGAAAAATAGAGGAGAAAATATTAGAAGAAAGGACACATAATATGGTCAGAATGTTAGTTAAATGAAAGAAAAAATTACTAAGCTTATCTGTTGATTGGAACTTACCTTTTCTAGAGAATTGTTAATTATAAAAACTCGGTATACCAGCTCATAGAAATTTTCCATGGATATGTTTTTTCCATGTTGGTCTCTGTATGGCAAATTTGGAGCTTGGAGAATCACCAACAAAGATCCGTTAACTTGGGTTATATTTATGGCTGGAGGATCTATTTTTGCTAGAGAAACGACAGGAAATTTCGACAAATCGTGAAAAATTACATGTGTGCATTACACATGCACACATATATACAATGATAAGTCACTATTCAGAAATATAGAAAAAAATAATTATGAAGAGATTCTGCTGACACCTACGATGCAAATATCTGAGAAGTTATTTTGAAGACCATTTTTTCTTTGCAAAGATGGATACTTTCAGTTTCAGCTTTAAGAGGACATTCATCAGTTTTACCAGTCTTCAGTGACTGCTTTGGAAAATAAAGTTATAAAAAGGGATTTGGAGGGAGATCTTAGAGTAAGGCAAATGTAGGTCCTTAAAGATGCAAAATTTCAAAGCAGCCATAAAACCATGTGAAGACTTGTAGCTACAAAATTAATTCAACATGATTATGTCATATATTATGGACCAGCAATGGAAGGATCAAAAGAGAATTTTGTTTTATGGATTTTATCAGTAACCAGCTCATTAAATAAGAAAAAGAAGTTAATAGACACCTTAATTTTCCTCAGATTCACTAGAGTATTGCTATGTATGGATTTTGTTACTGTTTTCTTTTGGTACTGATTGTAATTTTCAGTTTATAGGTTCGTTTTTTAAAAATTATTGAAAATTAGCCATTTTCTCTCTTTTTTGTATGTTTTTGTGTGCTTTACATATATATGCATAGATATGTCCTTTTCTTCTAGAATTCTATTTCATCTTCTGTTAAAATTTGTTTTTCTATTTTATGATTTCATCTTTCTTTTCTTGGTGCAGCAATTTGAATGATTTCTTCAGAACTGTCTTCTGGTCAACCAGTTGATTTTTGTTATGTCTGATCTAACTTTTAAAGTTTATTTACTGAGGGGGGACCAGCAGTTAGCGTAATGGCTATGTCGCTGGACTCCCACGTAGTCGACCTTGGTTCGCGTCCCAACCCGGTGGCTTAAAACTCACACCGGGCACATGTGCGTGCCCAAGATCCCGAGAAGAGAATGGAGGAGAAGGGATTTCGGAGTGGCCATCCCCTCTGGGGGGTGATTTCTCGCTTTCTCTCTGTCTCTCTCTGTCTGTCTGGCGAGCACATGCGCCCTAAAGCAAAAACCTCTTCAAAAAAAAAAACTGTTTATTTACTGAGATAAAGAAAGAGAGAGACTGAGATAAGTACCCTCAATGGATCTCATGCTATGATCTCCCCCCTACCCCACCCTGCCTTTCCTAGTCAGGCTTGATCACAAGTATGTGCTTATGCCGTGGGCTCACAGGTCCATCTGGGAACTCCTCACAGTCGTTCCATTGGCTTCCAGTTTTGTGAAGTGTTTTGCTATTGCTGCGTCAGAATGACTGCGCCTAATGCCTCTCTCTAAGCTATAGATTAAATTTTTAAAATTTCAGTGATTATATATTTCTCATTTCTATGATATCTATTTGGGTATTTTTAAAAGCAATATCTTATTCTTTGATTATGCTTTTTATTCTCTCTGTTATATCTTTCAACAGATTTATTTTATTATCTGCTTCTAATATCACAAACACTTGAAGTGCACATCTGATGTGTGTATGTTTCCTTCAAACTTGTTCATATTGATCTGGTTTGTGTGTTTTCATTGTGAGTATATATCCAAAAGTGAATACTTTCTTTCTGTAGCTTTGGTTTGAATAGTTTAATTTAAATAAATATTTTCGACCTATAAGATAGATATAGATAAATAAATCTCAAGAACTTGGCTCAAAAATCTTTCCAAACAAACAGTCTTGTATAGGTAGCACCCAGATCAAGAAATAGAACATTATAAACACCCTGAAAAACTCCTTTATGTTTTCTCCAATCTGTCAACTCCAGAAGGTAATCACAATTATCCATCATATAGACTAATTTTAGAATAATGCAATATA